ACATGTTTTCTAATAAGGACAGGAAGCATCTTTTGGCATAATACCAGGTATCAGTTCCCAGTTTTTTACTATAAGGTTCCAAGCTCTTGATAACCCGAGAAATTCCAAAGTCATAGTTTCCTTTGGCACAATAAAGTGTCCCTATCACCAAATTCACAATGCAGAGATGGTAGATTTTCTTGTCCGGGTCCTCATAGGAGAGCTGCTCTTCCTCCTTTTCAATCTTCCTCATCAACTCCTCGGCTTCTTCATTTTGACTTGTCATAATATATGAAACACACAGGTTAGCCAGCACGATAGCACTGACATTCAGGATGTTGTCATAATGCTTCTTGACGATGGGCTCATAAAAACCTATGGCTTCTTTGTATTTGTTTTCCTGCATGAACAGAACATGAGCCACATTCAGCCTCCACACATCATGGTCACTACAGAATTCCACTGATTTGCGGAAGATCTTTTCCACCATTGGGTAATTTTCAAGGTTCCAGTAGATTTTGGCCTGGGCCATCAATACGGGAATATACTTCTCAAGGGTGTCATCATACTCATTCACTGCCTTTTTGACAGCCTCATCATCCCTGTTGTGTCTTGCTTCCTGCACTTGTTTAGTGAGTCTCCGGAGCTGTTCAGTCAGCATCCCTGCCAGCCCATCCAGCTTAATGAAAGCCTCTTCAGGAGCTGTCTGGCAGGTGATCATGGCATCCAAGAAGTCGTAGAGATAGGGTGTGAGGAACTTGTAAGTCAAATGGGCATTCTCTGCCAGGACATCTGCTGCCAGGTCAAAATATTCATATTTACAGTAGAGCAGCAACAGGTTGCCAAAGGTCTCTGGAGGAAAGGGGTTCTGTTGCAGCAAAAACTGTAGCTTTTCAAATCCTTCTGTAGGCCTGGAATCCATGTTCATTAGCGCCTGGTTGTGCAGTGTCACAGGGTCTAATTCTTCCTCTGCCCTAGGTGGCATGTCAGTGAGGGTTTCCTGGGCCACCTCATAGTTTCTCAATTGGTATTCTATGGCAGCCTTGAGGTTGAAGGCTTCCACCAGAGCAGTCTGGTGAAGGACTAAGGTGTTGCCAACACTTCGAACGTCAATGCCCTCGGTGGTCATGCCCACACCCAGCTCTGGGTGCTGACGGATGCCATGCTCAATAATATCGGCGATATGCTTCAGCGCCGAGGCATAGTGCCGGCTGCTGTAATAGGCCAAAGCTAGGTTGTAGGAAAGGTCAGGCCCGTAGCCTGAAGCCTGCAGGGCCGTAGAGAACTTGGAACACGCGGCTTCATAATGTCCCTCCTTGTAGAGCAAACAACCCAGGTTAACCTGGCCATCGAGCTCATTCTCGCCCCCGCTGTCTTCTCCCCCTTCCCCACTCAGTAGTTGCTCCACCAGGCTCCTGGCCCCGGGCAGGTCGCCCTCGCTGTACTTGATAGCGGCCTGGAGACGGAGGACTCGGTTGTGGTAGGCGGGGTTGTCCAGGAGGAGGAAGGCGACGCGGGTGGCCTCCGGGTAAAGGCAGGCCTTGTACAGGGCCTGGGCCTGGTACAGGCGGTACTGCTCCAGCTCCGGGTGCAGCTGGCCCAGCTGCTCATAGCACTCGGCCGCCAGCGCGAACTCCTGCAGCCGGTAGTAGCAGTAGCCCAGCAGCGACAGGCCGGCGCGGCTCCTCGGGCTCCGCTGGAGCTCTCCGCCCAGCAGCTGCACCGCCTCGGCGTAGCGGGCATCCCGGATGAGCCGGTACACGACCGCGGTGAACTCCCCGTCGGGGATCTGCGCACCGCCCAGCCCCGCCATAAGCGCCGCGGCGGCTGTGCGTGCTCGTTACCACGGCAAC